CTTCTTTATCCATTCATCTATTGATGAACACTTAGGTTGTTTCCATATCTTGGCTATTGCAAATAATGCTGCAATGAACATAGGAGTGCATATATTTTTTTTGAATTAGTGTTTTTGTTTTGTTCAGATAAATGCCCAGAAGTGGAATTGCTGGGTCATTAAAGTAGTTCTAGTTTTTATTTTTTGAGGCACCGTACTGCTTTCCATAGTGGCTGCACCAGTTGACACGCCCACCAACAGTGCACAAGGGTTCCCTTTGTGCTACATCCTTGCCAATACTTGTCTTATCTTTTTGATGACAGCCATCCTAAAAGGTTTGAGGTGATACCTTATTGTGCTTTGGATTTGCATTTCCCTGCTGATTAGTGATATTGATCACCTTTTCATGTACCTGTTGGCCACTAGTATGGCTTCTTTGAAAAAAATGTCTATTGTGGGCCTTTGCCCTTTTTTTGTTTGTTTGTTTTGTTTTTGTTTTTGGGGTTTTTTTTTTGCTATTCAGTTGTATGAGTTCCTTACATAATTTGGGTTTTAACCCCTTATCAGATATATGGTTTACAAATACTTTCTCCCACTCTGTAGGTTGCCTTTTCATTTTGTTGATTGTTTCCTTTTCTGTGCAGAAGCTCTTTAGGTTGATGTAGTCCCACTTGTGTTTTTTTCTTCTTTTGTTGCCTGTGCTGTTCATGTCAACGTCAAGGGACTTTTCCCCTATGTTTTCTTTTAGGAGTGTTACAGTTTCAGGTCTTACATTTGAGCCTTTAATCCATTTCAATTAATACCAATCAAATAATCAATACCAATCCATGTATGGTAAAAGATAAGGGTTCAATTTCATTCTTTTGCATGTGTTTATCCAGTTTTCCCAGCATCATTTATTGAAGAGACAATTTTTTCTCCTTTCCTCATTGCATATTCTTGTCTTCTTTGTCAAACATTAATTGACCATATATATGCATTAGTTTATTTCTAGATTTATTCTGTTCTGTTGATCTATGTGTTATTTTTTTATGCCAAAATTAGGCTGTTTTGACTACTGTAGCTTTGTACTATAGTTTGAAATCAGGAAGTGTGGTGCCTCTAGCTTTGTTCTTTCTCAGCATTGCTTTGTCCTCCTTTCTTAATATTGCTTTGTCTATTCAGAGTCTTTTTGTGGTTCCTTACAAAGTTTTAGGATTGTTTTTTCTATTTCTGTGAAAAATGCCTCTGGGTGGTGAGCACACAACGTGATTTATAGATGACGTATTATGGAATTATACACTTGAAACCTATGTAATTTTACTAACTATTGTCACCCCAATCAATTAATTTTTTTTAAATGCCATTGGGATTTTGACAGGAATTGCATTGAATCTGTAGATAAACTTGGGTAGTATGGGCATTTTAATAATATTAATACTTCTGATCCATGTACACAAGATATCTTCCCATTTATTTGTGTCTTCAGTTTCTTTCATCAGTGTCTTATAATTAGCAGTGCACAGATCTTTTACCTTCTTGGTTAAATTTATTCCTAACTATTTTATTATATTTGATGCTATTGTAAATGGGATTTTTAAATTTTGTTTTCAGATAGTTTGTTGTAAGTGTATAGAAATGCAACTGATTTTTGTATGTTGATTTTGTAACTATTTTACTGAATTCACTAATTAGTTTTAACATTTTTTGTGTGGCGTGTTTAGGATTTTGTATATATATGATCTTGTGATCTACAAACAGAGATAGTTTTGGATTTGCATACCTGTTGTTTCTTTTTCTTGACTAATTGCTCTGGCTAGGACTTCCAGTATTATGTTTTGGGGAAACTATCAAAATCCGCCCCTTTTTAAATGAAATTAACTCTTTTGTCCTCTCCTTTCAAACACACACTTAAAAATTAAGAAGTGTTTATTAAGTACATGCCATGGCCTCTGCTCTACAAGGCGAGAGGGGCTATAAAATAGTATACCTGCAACCATTAGAAAAATGGTCAAACTAGTTGGTACAAACTGAAAACACAATAGGTTTTCAGGAATGGGGGTGGTAATTCACATGGGCAAAGGAATTAAGATTTGTATTGAGCTGTGAAGGCTATGAGAAGAACCAGGAAAACATGAGCAGAGATAAGAGGCTGGAATTATTGAGTTGTCGGAAAAGTCATGACGTATATTTTCTATGATTTTTGTTGCAAAAATGCATCATGACTTTTCCGACAACCCAGTATTAGCCTTCAGCCAACATTTATTAGGCACCCAGTACATGCAAGGTGTTGTGAGAGAAAGAGGGGGGATGAAAGGGATGACTAAAGCAGCACTGACTGGGGGCGTGGAAGTGCTTGGGCAAGCAGGAACGCTTCCCTGAAGAGATGCCCCTGAGATTAACATGGAAGAAAGGAGAGGAGGAGGGGCATTCCAAGCATGGGGACTGGCACCTGCAGCAATGTGACCCTTCACAGAACCACAAGCTGCACAGGATGTAGGTGAGAGAGAGGGGAGGTGAGGCCGCTGAAGGAGGCAGGCGCCAAACCTCAAGTCCTGGATGCTGGGCTGATAAACGTGTACTTCTTAATGTGACCCCCGTTAAAGCAAATGCTAGAAGAATATCTGTGCCATGGACAGAAGTTTCCAGAATTGTAGCGAGATAGGAGACCTTCCCCCTGCCCTGAAAGAACTCACAGGCTGGTTGAAGAGGCAAGAAGCAGTCCTGGTGTCCCTCACCACTTGACCTTCTCTGAGTTTAGTCTCTCCATTGCAGCCTGACCTGGCCCCATGGCAGGTGGAACTCTTAAAGGAAAGACGAAGGTGTGCACGTGTTCAGGACATGCCACCCTCCACAATTTCTCCTCAGGGGCCAGAGGGCTGTGAGTGTCTCTTCACCTCCAGCTTTCCCTCTCTCTCCCACATGGACCCTCTCAAGAAAACCAAGAGGGAGCGAGGCTCCACTTCATTCAAGCTGATGTCCATTGCTCAGTGGCTGCTTCGAGTCTTGCCTGGAACAGGAGGGTCCACAGGCCACCAAGAATGGTTTCCTGGAGCTGAATCAAGGGATAGATCCAAGAGCACCAGGTCCACAGCCGCTCCTTTCTGCCACTTCTTTCCTTCCCCAATATTCTCTCCAGGCGTTGAGCGTACCCAGACCCTCCGGATCTCCCCCTGCCTTGGGCACCTGACCCAGACTTCCTGTCTCCTGACCTTGTCCCAGGGCCTCACTCCATGCCTGGCACACATTAACAGATCAATAAATATTTTCACGATAACCACCGCTGCTTCATGCTTTTATCTAATCTCTGTGTCTTTCACCCAGGTTATTAATATGGCCCTGGGAATGGATTACAAATGCACAGCTGCCTTGCTGAATGGTGCGGTGTTATTGTCCGTGACTCTCTGATCTATGCTGATTATAAACGCCCAGTTACAGCAGCTTCTCAGTCAGGACACATAACCCTTTCCATGGCCAGAGCAATATTAATGTATGCAATTCACTCATTCATGGAACATTTATCAAGGCCATACTATATGTCAGGCACTGCACTGGGCATTAAGAACACAGAAATGAAAAAGACAATAAAACAAACATATAGAAAAGTATATAATATAAACATTGATGCTGTGAGACCACCTGGAGGACCCAGGTGGGACATGCTTTGAGAACCACAGTTAGAACATAGCTATCGATGAGAAATTAATATTAATAAGCACATTCATAAGAAATTAAAAGTATACCTAAAGCACCAAAGACTTATGCTCCTCTGTGTTTAGGTTACATAGATAGTTAATTATAGCGGCTGGCTTCTACTAAGCACCTACTATGTGTCAGGCACTGTGCCGTGTGCATTACTGAGCATAGAAACACGTTGAGATAGATGGAAGCAGTGGGGGGAGACGGCTATCGTTTGCTCCTGGTTTTCCAGGTGGCTGGTCTCAATGTAAGATAATCTATGCTGCAACAAGAAAGTTCAAAAGATAATTAAACCAGTTAAAAAGCAAAATAGCACTGGGACTGAAGCTGAGTTTCAGAGCCAATTTCCAAGAAGTAATTTCATCATCACAGAACATCAAACGTGAATTCCATTTTCAGCTATGCAAATTCCAAAAGAATAATACCTCACATTTGCATAATGCTTGATGCTTTCCAAAGTGCTTTCCCAGTTATTAATCTAGAGGAGGCTTTATTACCACCAGAAACATAAATTGAAATTCTGTTCAAACTCAAGTTCTCCATTCTTTCTTTCCACTTTCCCTTCAACCACCAGAGCCACCTAAATCCAGGTGTTTATGACCGAGTCACTAGTAAGTTTAACCGACAAGGTGAATATGCATAAATGTTGCATATTGTGGGGCCTTCAATGTACAGACACAGGCCTTCCATTGAGCCAGACTTTGGAAAAACTGTTGAATTAACAAAATCACAGGGAGGTACTCTCGGTTAAATTTGAGATCCTTTCAGGATCTCAGACTTTGTGGGCACTGCATGCACTATGTTCATAGCAATTTCTGCCCTTCTATCAAATATTAGAAAACAAGGAAATTAGTTCTACCACTTTGTCCTTAAACCTCCGAAAATCCCTGGCAATGACTTTCTGCCAAGTAGCCCAGAGAGCTCTGCGTCTTTTTGGTTTTTAAAGTAACATGAACCAAGAGGCTGAATCTGCTGTAAATCCAAGATGGGGATAGGATCTTAGAAAACCAAGGTGAGAAGATAGGACGGCGTGCGAGGAAATACTTGTACGCATACTTTTCCGACTTGTTTCTTTTTCCATCTCTTTCAAACTTAATTATGTGTAACGTTCTCAGTCACTGAATCACCACCACCAGCCTTTCCTGACACCTCAATCTCTTGCATTTTAGCAAAAGATTAACCTGGCTGTTTGCTTTTAATTCTGAGGCTGTGTTAATACTCAACTCCCTCTAGATTAGAAAAGAAGAAAAACACACTCCCACATGCACCACCCTGGCTCCAGCAAGGCTCCAGGGCTGCTGTTTCTGACATCACAGTCCTTGGAACGTGCTGGCTGCACTTACCATTTCAGGAGCGCCAAGAGGACCACTGACAGGGCCACCGTCAGCATGGGGCCGTTCACGTCCAGTTTGAGAAACCCCAAGACTTCCATTGTTCCTCAGAGACCCTAGACGGGTGTCCTTTAGAGGACAGATGGAGGCCGAATGTCCTGCCCTTACAAGAACCACGATCTGCAGATGGGAGAAGGAAGAGGCAACCAAGAAAACATCACATCAAGTGTGTTCCCAGAATGTGCTGTTGCTCCGTGTCTCCTTATAAAGAGGAAGGAAGAGGAGGAAGAAAACAAAGGGTTATAGTGTAAGGCAGTGAATCAGCAACTTCATTTTCTCTATGACTGTGCTGTCAATAAACATTTATGTTAACTTCCCTAGGAAGCAGCAGTTCAACTGACCCCAGGTTGACTGAGAAACAAATGGTTGCAACCATAGATTTGTATTCTAACAAGTAGTCCTTAGAGACTCCTCTCAAACAAACAAACAAACAAACAAACAAAATTAATTCATAATTAAATGAAGATATGGATACAGAGACTCTAAATGTTGCTGAAAAACTTGGGGTGGATATCAGCCTGATGAAAAATGCTGGCTGCCCTGAGGACATTCATCCCACAAAGTTCATTGGTTCCTGGGGTCTGATGACATCTCTGAGGTCAGAGGTGACTGGTGGCTATCTGGCTTTTGGGGTAGACCAAAAAAACCCTTGCCTCAGATCAGTACTCTCCTCATGAGTTGGAGTATTTCCTAAATATCTAAAATCATATTCATAGATTCATGTAGCGCTCCTTTGTTCCAGCTCCGAGCTTATCTGACTAAGGAGACTGAATCCTTTTTTGCTTAGTAGCCATTGTATTACACCTTTAGTAACAGGGAGGGTATATTGGAGTACAGTGGACCAGGTGAGGGAAGCAGCTGGGAGGGGGTGGAGACGTTGAAAGAGGCCAGACAGCACACAGCCATGAGGAAAAGCTTGGGCTTCACTTTCATGTGCCACTTAGGGTTTTAATATGGACATACTGATGTTTGCTAAAATCGTTCTGGCCACACGTGAAGAATTTATTGGAAGGCAGCAAGGGGGAAAAGCAGGGAGCCACTTAGAAAATTGCTGCGTCCATCCTGAGGTGATGCTGCTCAGACTATGTTAGGGATGGGAGACAGAAAGAAGTAGATGAATTTGAAATATATTTTTGGGGTGGACTCTGCAGAATTTCCTGGGGGCTAGGATATGAAAGGAAAAGGGAAGAAGGAAACACATCTGACTCCCAGTTTTCTGACTTGACCTACAGGTATATAGGGTGCCCTTTACTGAGATGGGGGAAAATGGGGTATCGCTGGGAAAATCAAGAGTTTAGTTTTTTGGGTTTTTTAAAAGATTTTTATTGGGGAATTGGTGGGATGGGAACAGTGCTGGGGAATTGGGGGAAGGGGAACAGACAAGTTGCTGTCATTTTGTTCTTCAGTCTAGTTGTGGAGGACGTTGCTTCATTGGCCCAAGTTGGCACCATCATTGCGCTCTTCCCGGGCGAGGCAGATCAGTCGCCGGCTTCTGGACGGCTGCTCACTGCGGCTGCTGGCCGCTCACGCTGGCTGCAGGCTACATACGGTACCCATGGCAACCCACTGCCACAGGGGCTGCAGCCTACGCCGTCGCCAGCGACTCACAGCAGCCCAGCTCCAGGTTGAGCTGTTGTTCAGCATCTTAGCTGTGGAGGGCAGTGTCACTGGCCCTCATATGTGGGATCTGAACCTGGGCTCTCTGGCGTCCCAAGCCAGTTCTTAACCATCGCGCCACTCGGCCGGCCCAAGAGTTTAGTTTTGGTCCTATTAAGGTTGAGATGCCTGGGGGACATCTGAGTGGAGCTGCCAAATCAGAGTAACCTCAGCTGAAAATATACGTAATAATGAATAATGACAATGCCATTTATGGAGTACTTACTATGTCCTAGTTACTATTCTAAGAGTGTTTGTATGTGTTAACTACTTAGTCCTCATAAACAACCTGATGAGGTAAAGCTTATTAACCTCATTTTATAGATGGAGAAACTGAGGAATAGGATGTTGGCCATCCAAAGCCCATTCTTATTTATTTATTTATGTATTTATTTATTTTTTAAATTAGTTTCAGGTGTACAAAACAATGCAATAGTTACACTTTTCACCCCTCACAAAGTGACAACCCCCCTCCCCAATGCACCACCCCCTCCCCCCATATCATACATATCTATTATAATTCCAGCAAAGGTTATTCTCTTAACAAAAGATTATATTCAAACATCGACGCCATCCATATACAAATGGTATTTAAATCCTGAGGAATAGATGAGCTACAGCCACAAATAAGAGAAAGAATCACCTGAGGACCAAGTACTTCCCTTTTCTCTGACCATTTGCCCTGTCCTCCTGTTTTGCATCCCTACTTAGGTGTCTCCCAACAGCTGTACCCCATCTGGACCCAAATGATCCATGCTCCAACCCAGCCCATGCACACTTCCCCTCCCCTCTCCACCGCTAGATCTCCTTTGTCTCATCCAAACGGTATGTACTGAGATGTTGATGAATCTACGTATTCCCTGTCTCTAAACAGAGCTACACTTCAACGAGGGGCATCTGAAATCTGATGCTTTTAGCCACAGGAGCTGCTGTGTGGAGTGTGGAGGATAGCAAGCTGGCGGGGAGGCAGTAGAAGGCTTATCATGGCCATGGATTCGGAGTCAGAAGGACCTCCGATATTACTGAGATCAGTGTATGTATCAGAAAGACACTTGGAGGGGAAAAAAAATATATATATATATATATATTTTAGGATTTCAAGGTGGAGTAGATATTAGAAATGCTGGTGTAAGCATTAAGAAGCAAGTTTATTTGCTGACAGTCCTCTCAGAGATTTGAACCTGCTGATGTGCCCTGTGCTGCTCCAAGAGGGGGGTGCAGAGGGTAGCATTTCTCAAGTGTATTTGACTGCAGAACCCTTGTGAAGGGGCTTTTATTAACACAGCCCTGATATAGTGTTCTTAGGAATGTACATTGAGAAATGTCGACCAAGCCCAACTCTGATCCACAGAAGAAGAAATGGAAACCTAGAAGGGAAAGTGACTGGTACAAAGTCCCCACAGCTGCCTAGTGATAGGACCCAGGTCTCTCATCTCTTTTCAGGCTCTAGAATATGCTCCTGACATCACCCCCGTGGACATGTCACCCATACACCGGGCACAGCTCCTGCCCCGTTCATTGAAATACCTTTGAATGTTGAATGTTGGTGGCCAGCTCAGAGATGTCTGGGTTTCTTGTGGGGTTGCCACCTCCCCTAGTGGCTCCGAGTTCGTTTATTCCTTCATTCATTCCTCCAATTAGTATTTTTGGAGCACTTCTTATATGATTTGTGATTGCTACGATTCCCTCAGAGCAGAGATAATAGTGAACTGTGGACAGTAAATTAATGGAGATAGAGTGGAAGGGTCAGATATGAGAAATATTAAGTGTTTTCATCAGGAGAGTAATATGATTAAGGATGTATTACAATTTTTACATCTATGACACAATGCAGGGGCACTCTGGCCGAGATCCCTTCAGGACGAAGGGCAGACTGTGGCAATGATATTTACCATAATGAAACATTAGGCCTTTAAGTCTCTGGATATTTTCTTTTTTATAACACACCTATTAAAAACAGTCAACTCTACAGAACTGTATAAAAAATATCCTACAATCACAACCCCCAGGGACAAACTCGGTTAACAAAACTGTATATCATCTCGTATCTTTTTTTATGCCTATATAAACATATGTATACTTTTAACCTTTATGAAAACAGCATCGTCATATCCATGCCATTCTGCAAATGGTCTTTTTCACTCACTGTGTCATGACTATCTTTCCATGCTCATAGTTAGAGACAGTCATTTGCTACTTAAGGTCCCACGGCATGGATGTATTCTATAATGATGAGCCCACCCTCTATTGAATGGCATTCGAGTTGTCTCCCAGTTTTTGTAACTACAGTGAGGCTGCAGGGAATATCCTTGTGCATACCACTATGGCCTTGCGTGAGGATATCCCAAGTGACATTCTTACCAGGGGCACTGCTGTGCCCAAAGATGTGCATTTCAAAAGTGCTGGTAGACGCTACCCTCTGTAAAAGCAGTTTCAGCGCCCCCTCCCTCAAGCTGCGTGTTGAGGTGCTCTCTACCCAACTTGACGGGACACCCCCCACTGCTTTTCCCTCTGCCTCAACCCACTCCAAGTCTATCTTTTCTTTTTTTTTCCTCCTATATCTCGGCAGACACCTCCCCCAGAGTTGGGTCAACTGTTTTGACTTAAGTCTTGTGTTTCTTTTTAAAGCGTTCACTCCATAAATTCTGTGGTATTTCCTCCATGTTGCCTGTGTTTAAAATCTGCCTGTGCAGATGTCTAAGCGGTGCCTTCCTCCCCGGCCGAAGGCTCCCAGCTGGCCACACTAAGCCTAATGTCTCTGATGAGGTTTGAGGCACCGAGGCACGTTCTTTCTGCCATGCAGGGCCTCGAGTGAAAGGACAAAGGGGCTTACTCAGCACCGTGCAAGTCCAAAGAATGTTTACATTTAACCTCATTTCAGCCTCAGAGCAAGCCTGGGGAGTAGGAGAGCGGACCTTTCATTCCTGGGTTCTAAGCGGAGGAAACTGGAGCTCAGAGATGTTAGAAGACTGTCCGAAATCGTGTTAATACATTTAACATATTCTGGAGGCCAGGCTCACGCCCCAATCTTCTGGCTTTAAACCCAGTGTTTTTTTTCACTAAGTCTAAAGTCACGTTTTAGTTTAAATAACCATAGTTCACCAAGCCAGCCCACAGTTGTGATAGAGTTTGTTCCTATGTTTACCCCCTGAGGTGCAGAGTTACTGCAGTTAAGGAAGAGGGAGGGATGGTGTGTGTCTATGGGCAGCTGTATCTCCTTGCAGAAGATACTCGGGCCCCTTTTGGAAGGCTGAAAAACCTCAGCTGGCCCCAATTCAGCCCAATCTCCTCAGCACCGTCCAATATCTTAGGGACGCTGTCCAATTTCTGAGAACACGGAGTCAGATTAGGGAGGGCTCATCCGCTCCCTCAGTCAACAGACATTTATTGAACAACTACTAGGCACCAGGAATAGAATCCCAATATATAAGACCTGGGTCTTACCACCAAGGAGCTCGGCTTCCAGGCGAGGGAAGCAGACATGTGAATACCTAAATGCCACCAGTGTTAGAGGTACTAGAACACAAATATGTGCAGGACACAAA